GCTGTCAAGTTTAAGCGCTTCGGACTTTGGCCAGTACGTCCCGGCCAGTGTACGATCTTAGTATTAAGTTCTTCGGGCTTGGCCGGCTCTCTTGGCAAAAGCCCAAAAGAAACTTGCCCGAATGCCGTTTGCCCGAAGATCGATTTCCCGAATGGACACTTGCCCGAATGCGACAAATGCCCGAATGCCAATTGCTCGAACGGCATTCGGGCAAGTGTCTTTCAGGAAAACGTCCGGCTCCCATATATATATATATATATATATATATATATATATATATATATATATATATATATATATATATATATATATATATATATATATATATATATATATATATATATATATATATATATATATATATATATTATATAAAGCAAAGTGGTCAAACTTCCCGGTGGCACAGGCGCGTCAAATTTATCACGATGACTCCTTGGGGCGATAGAACACGAGGGCCGGTGCCGGTGACCGTTGGCCGAAAATTTCACGGAAGGGGTCAAAACTGACCTCGACTGACCGTCGCCTTATATTGAATATATTAAGAAAAAAATTTTGCCGAACGACCCCCCTTGATATTTTGTGAGGTAATAGGAGATCCCCTTAGGGTGTCAGAAAAACTCGGCATATCCGGGAAAAATCTGCAAGTGGGTCAAAACTGACCAGTTGTATTTCCCTATGAAATATTTGTATTTTATGGAAAAACAGAGGGTAATTTCAAAACAGATTTTAGGGCACTTATGGTCTGCACATCTGGCTAATTATTTGCAAGCACTTAAATAAATGGCTAGGCCGTATGGAAAAACTGTCGGTTTGACTCATAGCCCTCGACGAGGGCTATAAGATGACCGCGAGTGAAATTCTCCTCATTTGCGCTATTTAACGAAAAAACATTCTGTCGAACGACCACCCTTGATATCTTTTGAGGTGGTAGAAGAACGCCTAGGGGTTTCATAAAATACTCGGCATATCTGGTAAAACTTCGTAAAGTGGTCAAAACTGAGCAGTTATTTTTCCCTATATAATCTATGTATTTTATGTGAAAAACATGCTATTTTCAACACAAATTTTAGGGTAATTCACCTCTGTACATCTGACTAATTTTTTGCATGCCCCTCTATAGGCCGTCTGGAAAAACTTTCGGTTTGACTAAAACTCCTCATCAAGGGCTAAATGATGACCGCGAGTAAAATTCTCCTTATATGAGAGATATGTAAGTAAATTGATGAACGATCCCCCTAATATTGTGTTAGGTTGTAGACCAACCCTAGAGAGAACAAAAACACTTTATTCGCGTCGGAAAAAAAACCTTTAGGTTCGTTAGATTTGTCCAGATTTGATATTTTCTTATATAAACAATTGTTTGTGAAAAAGTAAACAAAGAATACGTCATTCGGTCTATGTACAGGGTAGGTAACTTATTAAAGTAATCATTTTTAAATAATGTATATACTATTTATAGAAGAAATTAAAACCACAATGTATAGCATTCGTTTAAATAAATATTTCGTTAAACATTTAGTTATTTATTTTTACTGAAATATAAAAATTAATTGTAAAAGTAAATTAAATATAATATATGATTTATACTATTATTGAAGCCTTTGCAGTTCTAATTACCTTGCGAGCTATAAGTTTACGAAAACACCAATGCTTTCATCACTTGAAAATACTCAGACTGTTTAAACTTAGGAACTAAAGCACTCCACATAACAGCCAAACTCCAATTAATTAATGATTAAAACTTTCATAAGTTTTTTGTAAAACTTAGCGAAGCTAGGCAGAATGCCTAGTAGGCCTATATATATATATATATATATATATATATATATATATATATATATATATATATATATATATAATATATAAAGCTCAATTCTGTATGTTTATATGTTTGTAAACTGTTTGTCGTGGATTACAAAGGAATATAAAAAAACAAGACCTCGATGGATTCAAGTGTTAGATTATTAAAGCGCTCATGGTCACAATTTACGAGTTAAAAAATTAATACTGAAAGTGTTGGGAAATAATTTTCATTATTCAAACTTATTTCCCACTCTCAGTCACAGTCACAGACGATCAAGAATGATGAAGAATAAGCCGTCTTCTGCAAATATTTATTAGACTATATTTCTTGAGCGGGAATTGTCTGTGTAGCGCGCATCTAACAAGACTATAGCGCAAATACGTGTGCTGCATAAATTACTGGCTAGAACCGTCGTTTCTCCCTCCTCTCTAAGGCTAACCCGCCGGCTTATATACCCCACCTGCGAGCGTCTCGGATGACACATTGTTCTCAGGACGAAATCTAGCTCTCGCTTGTGAAAATTGTCCCGTCTTTTGTGCTAACCGACCACAAATAACTCTGTATAAAAACGTAACGCGATCTCCTAAAATTTTAACAAGCTTATCCTCTGAAACCACAGACAATTCCCTTTACAATGATACAAATTACAATTAACATCAATAAGTTGTTATTACACAATAATACTTCAAACATGCAAATATTGTAAAAATATAATCAAATACACCCACTTAAAGTAGATTTCCATAATATCAGCTTGCTCCTAACTAGCACTAAGATCTTCTACTTAAAGATCAAGCTTGGCCTAATTGTTCATCCAATTTTCATGCTATAATAACAACTATTTGATAAGATATGAATTTTTCTTCTTGCCCTACTAAGCACAATTGACTGATTTCTAATAAATTCACTACAGTATTTTTAATAATGCCTTTTGTTTATTCTATACACTGAACTTACTGTTTACTAATTTTTAAAAAAAATCAATAACAGTTAATAAGCCAGGTCCTACATGTCCTATATGTTTATTTCTTCCCCTTTTAGGATAAGTTTGGAGTACTATAATTGTTCATTAAATTTAAACAGGCGTGTCCGCCGGCGCTTAACCAGGATTCAATTTGGCGCCCTGGGCTATACTGCGAGCGCTATGGTGCATAATTTCGCTTTAAACAGTACGATA